CGCATGCACAGGTTGCATCGCCTGCTTTGTTTCCAGATTTGGCTGTATTCAATTCAATTCATGTCAATGCAATAAACACACATGATGATAGCAGGCACTTGGAATGTAACGCCAGAACAAACCCCAGGTTTGGGCTCAATGACAGAAGGAGGCGATGGGGGCCGTGGTCAAAATGAAGCGACAAGTAGACGTTGCATGTGAAGAACACAAAAGTCTTCCCTGTCATTCACAGCTGCCGTTTCTGTTCATGCCTGCAAGCAAGCGAGCCAGTGTGTGTGGTGTGTGTGTTGGGTATTCGTCAGTGAGAGCTACGCGGCGTCAACGGTGAAGAAGACAAAGAGCAACGCAAGCACCGAGACAGCAAGAACCAAGCAGGCAAGCGGTGTTACGTGACCACGTCCGTGCACGCAAACACACACGCACACACACGCACACACACACACACACACACACACACAAACTTACACACACACACACACACACAAACTTACACACACACACACGCACACACACACACACACACACACACACAAACTTACACACACGCGCGCGCGTACACACATATGATCATCATCATCACCAGCACCACCGTCGCCATTCAACGCACGTGCGACTCTGCGTCGACGACAGCGGTGTATGCCGGCGGGCGGTCCACAGGCGTTCCAGACGTGATGCCAGACGTCATGTCAGTCGTGGTGGTGGTGATCTCGGGGCTGGTGGCTGTTGTGGCGGCGGCTGTGGTGGTCTCTGTCGGCGGGGATGTTGCAGACCGCGCTCGCAGCACCTCATCAGGCACCCTGGCGCAGTGTGTGTGTGTGTGTGTGTGTGTGTGTGTGTGTGTGTGTGTGTGTGTGTGTGTGTGTGTGTGTGTGTGTGTGTGTGTGTGTGTGTGTGTGTATTAGTGGGTGTGCATGCGTGAGTTCGGTCTACGGTTTAAATATTTATGCAAAAAATAACACGAACGACAGTGCCTGCCACGCACATAAGTTAAACCCTGATCCAAGCACACACACACACACACACACACATATGAGACACACACACATATGACACACACATGAGACACACACACGCCGCCAGAGGCCTCACCGCGATGGAGTGTCGTGCGCAACGCCGGGCGGCGGACCAAGCTCAAACTCGGGCTCATATTGATCACCGTGACCGCCACCACGTGCTGCTGCTGATGACGATGACGATGATGATGATGATGATGTGGTGTGCGGGAAGCGTTGCTTCTGGGACTGCGTGCACACGCCTGTGGTCTCGTTGGCGTTGAGGTTGAAGATGACAATGCCAAGGAGGAACGAACACACCCACGCTGCCGCAGCGATGTGCACCGCCGTGCTGTCTCGCAGCGTGGGCTGGCTCTCCCTGGTGGTGGTGGTGGTGGTGGTGGTGGTGGTGGTGGTGGTGGTGGTGGTGAGGTATATAGAGGCGGGGAAAGGGGATAAGCATGCGAAAGTACACGAATTGGACAGCACACGCACACATCAATACACACGTACACACGCACTCGCACGCACGCACACATCAACACGCGTGTGACTGACCCGTTTGCGAGCTCGATCCACTTGCGGTCCTTGTTGTAGTCGAAGCGAATCAGCACAATCCACACGGCAAAGCCAATCACACCAAAGACGGCTGATCGTGGATGCAGTGTGGCGGTGGTGAGTGTATGGTGAGTTGATGGTGAGTGTGTTCCAGCACACAAAGAGTGGATCCCACACAAACACAGCACAAGCTACCACAACCACGCCCCCTCACTATCCTTCCACACGTGTGTTCGGGGCACATTGTTCAACCTGCGGCCATGGCGGGAAATCCAACGGCATCCGAGTCGCCGTTACCATCCTCGACATCGATGCACGTGAACAGAGCAGCAACGCCCAGCCCTGGCCACCAGCAACGAGTGCATATGTGTGTGTGTGTGTGTGCGTGTGTGTGTGCGTGTGTGTGTGTGAATACATGATACCAATATGGCTGTGGAGAGGGCTGCACAGGGCAAGAACGCTTGATATGGCTCGCGGTGCAAAACACGTAGCTTCGCAACTCACACAAGACGGCCATGATGGTAAAGGCGATGGTTGTTTTCCTGCGGTGGTCGCAGCTCCCACACCCATACACTTCGGCCAAGTGGTTGGTTCGCTTCAACGCAGGCGGGATGGCATCGCTGTTGTCTGTGTGTTTCGAGGGAGGGGAGGAGGGCGGGGGAGGAAAGAGGCAAAGCAAGTGAGCAAAGTGTACAAGATCGCAAACGAAAGGTAAACAAAGTGTACAAGATCGCAAACATGAAAACCAGGCACACACCCACACATACACACAAACACACACAACCACACACACACACACACACACACACACACACACCCACAAGCACCAATCACATCGCATAACTGACTTGCTCATGCATGCACCCACATCACATGACAGCCCGTCACTTACATGCGTAGCAGTTGCTGGTGATGTTCAGTTCTGGTGGATATGAGTCATACCCGCACACTTGGAAGAGACCATAGTCCAGATGCGTGCCAGAGATCTGACACAAAGAAAGCGAACAGAATGCAGATGTGTGAGGTTTTCAACCGTCATCTATGCCATGACCACCAAACACAATCTCGCAAGGCACACACACACGCACGCAGCACACGCGCGCATTTGCAGTGTTTAGAAATGCATATCGCCGCTGCTCACCAGCAAGTCGTCGATCTCCGCCCAGGTGTTGAGGCTCAGCGCCACAATGAACAGGATGAGCGGCACCAGGACCAGCATCAAATGTGTGCACAGCACCTGCATCGTCGTTGTTGGGGTGTATGTCAACAACAACTGTCTGTATCCGCCTTCTGGGTTGGCAAGCAAGGGAAAAATTGACTTTATGAGAAAGTCATTTTTGCCTTTGTGTGCGAGGGTGGGAAGCACACACAAGCAAGCGTTTGGAGAGAGGACACACAAGACACACAACACTCACTCCCATCCACTCACTCGCTCGCTCATTGTCCGCCGTGGGACACATTCACATCAAGATGAGCAGCAAGGACGGCAAATGGTACAGACTGTGTGTGTGTGTGTGTGTGTGTGTGTGTGTGTGTGTGTGTGTGTGTGTGTGTGTGTGTGTTGAAGTGAAGGTGGATCAGAGATTGTTGTGGTGCGTGTCTGTTTTTGCGTTGCGATCTCTTGCCAAACAACCCAACACCACCCTCCCACTGACACGAGCAAACACACACACACACAACGCGCGCACACAACGCACGTACAAACACGCATGCGCAACAGCATGCCTGCGGACGAAGCGTCAGAGCTGTCCTTTCAGTTTGCTGGCTTCGAGCAAGCCAAGGAGGGCCACATCGTGAGTGATTCTGCAGCAAAGACACTTGGAGGATATGTGTGCTGCTTCTTATGACCGCCAGAGTCCCATACACCCTTGGTTTGTTTACGTGACACATGTGCATGTGTGTGTGTGTGTGTCCACAGGTGTATGTCTTGAACGTAACGCGAGGCGCACTTGGGGAGACCATCCAGGTACGTGTGTGTGTGTGCCTGTGTGCCTGTGTGCGTATCAGAGATCGCACTGATCTGGATCTCCGTGCTTCATCAGCTCACCTCGAATCGCGACTACGCATGTGTGTGTGTGCAGGTGCGGCACCGCTACAGCGACTTTGCCGCCTTTGCTCAAGAGATGAGTGCGCTGAGTGGCATGACGCTGCCGCTTCCTCCAAAGAAGATGTTCGGCAACACGGACAAGGCGTTCCTCCAGAAGCGCATGCAAGGCCTCAAAGTCGGTGCTGTTGCTGCTGCTGCTGTTGCGATGTATTGTGTGTGTCTGCGTGTGTCTGTGTTGTATGTTGTGTGCGCGCGTGTGTGTCTGTGTGTCTGTATCTGTGTCTGTAGGTCTGTGTGTGTGCGTGTGTTTGTTGCTTCTGTGCCTGCAATGCTGAGACGTGGCATTGTCAGTGGTGGTCAGAAACCCTAAGCATCACTGCTCACATGGATGTCCTCTGTCACACCACGACATGTGCTCCATCCACAGCACATGCTTGATCTGATTGCGGCACACCCAATTCTGCGACTGACACTGCCGTTTAAGCGGTTCCTCGATCCAGCGACATATGGACGGGACTTCCGCAACAGCGCCGAGCGCGGCCTCTTCATGTTCCTCAGGTGTGCCTGTGTCTGTGTCTGTATCAGGTGTGCCTGTGTCTGTGTCTGTGTCTGTGTCTGTGTCTGTGTCTGTGTCTGTGTGTGTGTGTAGTGTGTGTGCGTGTGTGTGTGTGTGCGTGTGTGTGTGTGTGTGTGTGTTGCCGGTTCTTGTACCTCCCAATGCATTCCCTCCTCCACTTTCTCATCTGGATCCACAAGTCTCTTCCTCTTCTCCTCCACGAGACACACTCGCACTCACACTCACACACACTCACATATATACATATGTGTATATTATACACCACCACCGCCACCGCCACCGACCCCTGGGTGCAGGTCCGAGGCGTCGTGGCGGGTGCTGGAGCAGCTGTACGGTATTGGGTGGCGCGTCACCAAGATGCACGCAACCGTCCTCAACCAGGGATACACCTCCCAGGACCAGAGTGCACCCCAGCTCCTCACATGGGTACGTTGGGTGTGTTGTGTGTCTGTGTCTGTGGGTGTCTGTGTGTGGGTGTCTGTGTCTGTGCCTGTGTGTGTGTGTGTGTGTGTGTGTGTGTGTGTGTCTGTGTGTCTGTGCCTGTGTGTGTGGGTGGGTGTGTGTCTGTGTCTGTGTGTGTGTGTGTGTGTGTGTGTGTGTGTCTGTGTCTGTGTGTGGGTGTGTACTTTTCTTCGCCAAACGTTTCCATGTCAATCGCTGAGCCCCTAACCTCGCTTCACCCCATGTGTTTGCATGCGTGTGCGTGTGCGTGCGTGTGCCTGTATGTGTCCCAGGTGCCCATCCCAGCCACGTCCTTTGTGCCCACAGAACTCCTCAACAGCGTCCTCAAATACATTGCCGGCATCTCACACCCATTTATCGCTGGAGGTGTGTGTGTGTCTGTGTGTCTGTGTGTGTGTGTGTCTGTGCCCTTGCTGCTGTGACTCGCCTTCTCACACGTTTGCATTCCCTTCTCCCCCTTGTTCCCTTCTTTCCTTCGCTTGCCGTTGCCTCCAATCACCCATTCCATCACTCTGCCCACTATTTCGCCCCCCCCCTTCCAACTTCAACACCAATGCAGCGTCTCTGGGATGTGTGCACGGCGCTGAGGAGCCCGGTGCCATCCTCGTCCGCGCCCTCGCCCCAAAGGTGATGCATCGCGCATTGCTTGCTTGCATGCACTGCTTGCATGCATGCACTGCTGATGCCCTCAGTGGCGGCTGTGGCGTGCCTTGCGCTGTGCTCCCGCAGCGTGACTTTGTTGCTGTTCTCATAGCTGTCACGATTGTTGCTGTACCAGGGATCACTTCGCGACCTCATTGCACGAAACAAAAACCCAAAGGTGCGGTGCAAGCACACATTTCCGTGCGCACACACACGCACACACACACACACACACACACACACACACACACACACACACACACACACACACACACACACACACACACTGGCTGGTGATTTCACTGCACTGCTCCATGACATCAGCGCCATCGTTCCTTGCATCAAACCTCACCACCACCACCACTTACAACATCCACCACCACCACCATCACAATGCCCATCACCACCTGCCCAGCTGCCGTTTGCGCGCAAGTACGTCGGCAAGAAGCCAAAAGGTCTCGATGTGCGCACCGTTCGGCTCTTTGGCAGACAAATCCTCGGTGCGTGCCAGCGGTGGCGGTCGTGATAGTTCTTGTTGTTCTTGTTGTTCTTGTTGTTCTTGTTGTTCTTGTGGTGGTGGTGGTGGTTTGCATGGTGTTGTGCTGTGCACGCTGATCCATTCATGCTCTCTTTGCTGTGTCTTCTCCGGCTATTTGTTCGCCACAATCTCACACACAATCACGCACACACACAATTTCACATACAATTTCACACACAATCACAATCATACGCACACAATCCTATTGCCACCGCCACCAGAGGCGCTCAAGTTCCTGCACGACCGCGGGCTGCCGTATGGGCATCTGCATGCAGGCAACGTCCTCGTCATCTCGGATCGATTCTGCCAAATCACAGACGTCGAAAACGGCGTGCTCGGTGCGTTGTGTGCGTTGTGCGTTGTGTGTCTGTGTGTGTGTGTGTGTCTGTCTGTCTGTCTGTCTGTCTGTCTGTCTGTCTGTCTGTCTGTCTGTCTGTCTGTCTGTCTGTCTGTGTGTGTCTGTGTCTGTGTCTGTGTCTGTGTGTCTGTGTGTGCAGGCTTTGTACATCTGTTTCACCGCTTCCTCTTCCCTCTCATCAAGTATCCATCTCACCCCCCCCCCCTGCCGCGTGTGGTAGGCCTGCCATCGTTGTACAGCGGCCACATTACGGAGCTGAAGAAGATCTCAACGCTTGAGCTGTGTGACGTCTACTGCTTCGGTCAACTCCTCTACGAGGTCACCGCATCTGTGTGTGTCTTCGGCTGTGTGGATGTGAACATGGCGAAGTTCGCACCTACCTTCTCAAGCTGACGTTTATGTGTGCGTGTGTATGTGTGTGTGTGTGTGTGTGACTGCCTGATCATCTCCAGTGTTCGCGCATTCCCTCACACGCACATCTTCCTCGCCTGCTGTGCAACGTGACTCACCCCACCCACCCGTGCGTCCGTCCTTCCTTCCCGCAACCACCACCGCCCTTGATCACGGCGAGCAGATGGTGTTTGGGCAGCCGCTCGGGGCGGCCACGTGTGATTTCATTCCCCAGGGCGCAGCAGCAGGTGGGCTTGATCATGGCACGCGTCATGATGCAATATCGACACGTGAACATGGGACAGCTGCATTGCAGCGTGCACGCGTACTGACATGTGGTTGAACAGCGTCTTTTCTGCGCACGCTTGTTTCTTCATCCATCTCGCCACACCCGCTCACTTACAGTTGCACACACACACACACACACACACACACACACACACACACACACACACACACACACACACACACACACAAACAAACACACACACACACGCACAACCGCGCGTGCATGCACATAGGCCACAGACACGCGTTCAGGCACTCACAAGCTCTCTATGTCTGTGATGCTATCCGCTCGCTGCCGACAATTGCGCAATTGCTGCAGGAGCCATTCTTCAAGGACGTGGACCTTGGGCAGGTCGAACGCTACAGTACACGTACACACAAATACACGCACAAACCAACGCCTACTGCTTCTTCGACTGTGCCTCACGCTCCTACAGGGGCGAGCAGGGGGGGGGGGGACATGCATGTAGAGCGGACAAAGAGTGTGCACGGCATGGGGTGACAGCGGGTGGGATGCGCTTGCGTGTGACCCACTGTGGCAGTTCTCATCGTCCATCATCAAGACACACTTCACGCACGCACGCACGCACTTCACACACACACACACACACACACACACACACACACACACACACACACACACACACACACACACACACACACACACAAAACACAATCACGGCCAATGCACGCCATGTTAACCATTGCGCACCTTGTCCAGCTTGGATTTGAGGGCCAGCACCTTCTCCTGCGCCTTTGCCGCCTTGGCCTCGTTGTCGTCCATCAGCTTCTCATATCGCTTGCTGCGCAAACATACAAACGCGCAACACGCAAATCAGGAGCATGACACACGTTTGAGCGGTGGTCATGGGTTGTGGCAAGCTCGTCAGCTCGCACGCTCGCACGCATGCACGCATGCACACACGCACACGCACGCATGCACGCACGCACACGCACGCACGTGTACACTCACTCACACATACTCTTATACACTCAATCACACATACACACATACATACACACACTCACTCACATCTCCGCCTCGATGTACTCGAGTCGCTTGCCCACGTTTGTCTGGGCCTCTCTAGAGTCCTGTGACCACGCAAAAGGGCACAAAGCATGTGAGCTTGAGTTGCAATGCAAAACAAAGAAACTTCAGCCAATGATCAGACCAACCCGGGCCAGTCACGCTCTCGTGCTAACCTGCTTGATCAGCGCCGGCCCCATGAGTTTGTACACAGTGTCGCCTTCCTTAACGAGATCCAGCTCCTGGATTTGATTCACCATCATCGATCACGCCACACGCGAACGCAACAACGCTGGCGATTAGTTCAAGCTCAAGCAACGCCCGTAGCGTCATCAGAGAAAGCAGAGTAAGCAGAGTAAGCAGAGCTGGCAAGATAGGCAACGGCCACACATTCAGGCACATCACATGAGCCCCTTCTCGCGCCCATGCAGGGCCGTGCTTCCCGCCCATCACACACGCACACGCGCGCGCACGCGCGCACCTGCTTGACCATCTTGTTCTCGGACAGCTGGGTCTGCAGCTTCTCCCGTGTCTGAATCAGGCTGTTCTTCTCTGTTTATGGGCATAGCGTGCACACGCACAACCAACACAACAACACCAGCAGCAGCAGCATGAGCCTACATATATGCACGCACGGATACCAAGCAGAAATCGCTGCAAGCTGCTGCAAGCTGCTGCAACAACTCCCCCACTCACACTCACACTCACACTCACACTCACACTCACACTCACACTCACACGCACACTCACACTCACACTCACATGCACACCCACACTCACACCCACACTCACACTCACACCCACACTCACACCCACACTCACACTCACATGCCCACTCGACCGACCTGTCTGCAGCTGCTGCATGCCGTCCAGCACCTCTCGGAGCTCCTTCTCGATCTGCGAGGCCATGGTTGGTTGGTGGGGAGGTGGTCGTGGTCGTGGTTTGCTGCGGTTGCGGTGGTTGTGGAAAAGTGGCAATGACTTGCTCTATTCGTCGGCACTTGGTGGTCGCTGCTCAACTTTGCATCCTTGGCTTTGCTTGCTTGTCCACAACAAAAGTTGACGATGGCAGATGTGGAAGAGACTCAGCCGCCCTCGCTGGACTATGGCGAGGACGACCTTGCTGCCCTTGACAAGAAGGAGAGTACATTCTCCCTCAGGTATGTTCGTACAGACGAAGCTGTTCGGTGGCACAAGCACCAACACAAATCACACACAAACACAAAAGAACCCCACGCACAGATCACACTTTACCCTGCATCTCACACGTACACGCTGCTTCACACACACACACACACACACACACACATGTACACACACGCACATGTACACACACACACCATGTGCTTTGGCTTGTCACATACAGGATGCAAACGTTGATGGGGAAGAAGTTTGAGGATGCCATCATCGCCATTGGGGAAGTACCCACAGCCTTTGTCGACGCGCTCACCGCGAGTGACGCAGCAGACACTGCACCAGCACAGCAGGACCCAAGTCACATCAAGATCACCGGTCATCCACCGCTCAGGGTAGAGGTGAGTTTGCTTTGCTCCGTCGTGCATTGCGTTCTGCCTTTGCTGTCCTCATTGCCATGTTTTATTGTGTTTCGCACGTTTTGTGTGCGTTGCTTGCTGGCATGTAGGTCAAGTTGTGCACAACTCCAACGCTCTCACACAGCCCTCACGGTGCTCACCGCCAACACAGCCCATTCACTTCACAGCAACATTTGAGATTCGCGGCTCAGTGGCAGTGTGCAAGTGTGAGGGCATGCTGCGATCCGATGATGCTGCTAGCTTCACCCAGCTGGTGCGCTTCCTGGATATGCGCGCGCGTGCGTGCGTGCGTGCGTGTGTCTGTGTCTGTGTGTCTGTGTGTGTCTGTGCGTTCGTGTGTCTGTGTGTGCGTATGTGCGTGTGAATTCATGCTGAATGTTTGCGTGCGTGTGTGTGTGTACGCGAGAAGCTATCACCACAGCGCCATGACCACAGCGTCATGACCACTTGTGTCTTTGCATTCCATTTACCCGACAACGCTGCGCGCGTTGCAGGTGCGGTCGCATGTGTCCGCCAAGCGCTACATCTGCTTGGGGGAGGCGGCCCTGGCCTCTTACCAGGCCACAGATCCGCCACAACACACGCCCATGCTCAGGTCGGCAATGCCAACATGATGCGTGGATGCGTGCACATGTGTGTGTGTCTGTGCGTGAAACCAACCCTACCACTCCTCCTTCCCCCCCCCCCGTCGACCTTATTCTGCCCCAACTGCCTGTAATTGCACCATTTCTCCTCATATGCCTCACATGTTTGCCCCAACACAACACAACCAACAAACAACACCAATGCTGAGGACAGGTATCTGGCCACCAGCAGCGAAGCATCACGTGCAGTGGCGTCGGCCCAGCGCCTCGAGCCCCCAAATGCTCTCACGTCCATCGCAGCAGCAAGTCAGTGGTGTATGTGTATGTGTATGTGTGTGTATGCGCGCGCGCGGAAGTGTGTGTGTGTGTGTGTGTGTGTGTGTGTGTGTGTGTGTGTGTGTGTGTAGTAGTGTGTGTGTGTGTTCAGCGATCCCACCATTGCGGAGCATGCTGGCTGAGAGCTCACAGTAGCTCGAGGCTATAACACGAAAGTAATGTCTGCACCAAACGAGACCGGCGTTGGAGGCGTCAAGCGCACGCACAGCTGCGCCTACTCGCTACCCGTGGTAAGTCACGAATGCCTGCATCAAAGAGATGCAATGTGAGACAAGACTGATATGCCAATGGGCAGCCGACCGTGCGGGAGTGACACTCGAACCAAACTTCTTTCTATTTTTTTGTTTATA